GGCTCACTTTGGGGGCAAATCAACCCTGGGGGGAGGGAATGCTCTAGGATGGATGTGGTGGTGATTGTACCATCCCCCCTGATATGTTTGAATGATGGAACTCTTCAATTCTATGATATGTAAATTGCTTTCCAATAAAACTGTGCGAGGAAATGTATATTTACACCCTTGGAAGCCCTATGGAGCAATTCTACTCTGCTCTGTAGGATTATTGTGAATTGGCATCAACTCAATGACAATAAGTTTAGTTTGGTGCATGAGTTTTATGATGATCAGATAATATACTTCACAGAATGGTTGGATGATGCCTTCAGGAGGACTCCCAATGAGAGTTTAATCTAAAATCTGATTTTCGTCCCCTTTAGCTTTGTACTCCAAAAGACTTCTCTCACAGCATCTTAATTAAAAAACAAACAAACCTAGATTTTCAATTTGGTAACTCCAATCCCTAGGCTAGTTGGCCCTCGAGTGATAGTGTTGCCATCACAGTCCAACTGCCATGAACCAAATACCGTGGTCCAAACTGCCGAACCACTGAGGAAATAACCAGATGAGTTTAATTTGGTAGAAAGGTTGGGGTCCTTTTTTACTCAGCATTCCACTGCTTAAAGGTCAGTCATTTGAATCGTTTTTCGTTTGAGCACATCAGGGAATAGCTGAGTACCTATGCTGGGCATAATTGAGGCTGTCTAGGGTCTCCTCCGGCCAATGTGCACATGACCATTTGGTAAGAGGCAGAAGGATATTCACTCACCCATCTTTAATCCCCAGTCCCAACATGGCATCCTGGTGCATGATGGCTATGCAGTAAGTGTTTAGTAGTGAAGATAGGACTTTAAGGATGCCTGCAGCATCTGCCTCAAAGTCAAAAGTGAGTTAGTGAAGACAGTCTTAAGACCATAAGAATGCACTGGTTTTGACCGAGAAGTTACCAAGGTTGAAAACATTGACACCCCCCCACCCCACCCCACCCCCTGTAAGCATTAGCTGGTATAATGTGACATGCACCTACTTTTTCCTTATTTCCCCCTTGTCTGTCCTTCACATAGTTTGTACCCACATCATCTACCTAATTGCCCCACTCACCTTTCTTGTCTTTATATAGGTGTTGGGAGTGCCTACGGAGGATACTTGGCCTGGAATCTCCAAACTACCTAACTACAATCCAGGTAATCTTGAGCCAAGCTTTCAAAGCCCCCGATCATTTGCAGTATAACATGAGCATTGGTCACAAAAGCACAGTGCTATTCTTGTGTTGTCAACTCAACAGCAAAGATAGTTCCAGCCGAGTTTCTAAAGCCATATATTCGCTCCTGAATCCTTTTACAAATGAAGTCACTGAAACGGTAATCTGAGGTCAGCTGTTTTCCCAACTCTGCAAAATACACGTGGCAAAGTGGCTAAGCACGTGTAATGACCATTCTCTGGATTCTGCATCCAGTTCGGAACACACGCAGGAACAGCTCGAAATGCTCTTACACTGTAGCCTCCTGACGATCACTGAGTTGATTTGCCAGGTTAGTATGTAACCTAATATGTAAGGTAGCTACGGTAACCTAGTTAGAAGTTCACCAGCCTAGGACAGGCCAGGTAATATGAATTATAGATTATCTCTACCAAGAACTCATTCACTGCCTCTAGATGTGAACCTGGTAATTTTCTGTCACAGGATCTCCAAGACTGGCTCCTTGGGGGTGAATTAGGAAGTGATGGAAATGTTGCCCATGGGACAGTCTTTAATGAGCTCCATGCCCAAGCCAAAGTGATCAAATTTACCCAATGGTTGCTTCAAGGGTGTTGAGCCAGAAGAGACAAACAAGGAGGGTAAAGGGCTACCTTAGAGGTGATAGAAGCTGGTGTGATGGTTATGTCTAAACTGTTCTCCTCCTGTCAGGGTCGAAGGGTCGGTAGATACAGATAAGAATGAGGTTAAGGCGAATATAGTTCAAGCTAGAGGTTCCTAGCCTTTATATTGCTACATCCGCCCATCACTACAAAGATTCATTCCCAAGCGTGATGACTAATTTTGGTATGAAATAATTCTGGAAGTGTTGAATGAGAGAAAGAAATCATAGGGAGATTTTAAAAGTGACTAAAGAAGAAAATAGAAGACATAGTAATTTGGTGATGTAATTTTTTTCTCTTTTAAGGAAGCCATTATGATCAGCCTCAAAATAACATCTACTAGTTTTACTCAAACATCCATATGTAGACAGCATATGTCTTAAACTCACTAGACGTAGAGGGGCCCTACAGCAAGCTAAAACGGTCTCTGGTAGACTGTGGGTTGGGCGTTGAACTGCTAACAACAAGAGTGTTGGTTCAAACCTACAAGCCACTCCTAGGAAGAAATGGGAGCCTGTCTGCTCCTGTAAAGATTTATCATCTTGGAAACCCTCCATAAATAGGGTTGCTGTGACTCGGAATAGACTCAACAGCATTGGGTTTGGTTTTTAAGTTACACCAGGCTAAAGATTCATTGTTAATCCCCGTAGTTGCTTTGTGAATCATCTGTTGTTAAGTGGCTTTAATGTTATTTACAAATGGCTCACCATGCTGTTTTGCTAAAGTTTAGCCCATGAGGGGAAAGGCGTTTGGAATAGGACCCTTTCATTTTATCAGGAACAGAGAAGAAGAAGAACATGCTTGTTATGGAGACAATAGTCCGATCCGCAGCAGCTCCTATTTCCAGCTGCCAGGCCACCCAGAACCTGAGGCTCATTTTTTCCTACCCTACTAATATCTCTCCCTACCCACCCTTCTCTCCAAGTGAAAAAGGGGCACCCCCACCCCCATTTATCTTCCTTAACTTTCTATCATGGATGCAAGCAAAAGTCTAGGGCAGTGGTTCGCAACCTGTGAGTCACCACCCCTTTGGGGGTCAAATGACCCTTTCACAGGGGTCGCCTAATACAACCTGCATATCAGATATTTACAGTATGATTCATAACAGTAGCAAAATTACAGTGAGGAAATAGCAATGAGGATAATTTTATGGTTGGGGGTCACCACAACATGAGGAACTGTATTAAAGGGTGGCGGCATGAGGAAGGTCGAGAACCACTGGTCTAGGTTTTCAGACGGGGTCTAAGAAACAGAAAATGAACGATGCCAAGACAAAGTTAGTACGGAGCACACCTGCAGACACTGCAAACCCCCCAGCCACTGGAACTTCAGGGTGGGCCAGGCAGGCTTCTTCCTCCTCGGATTCTATGCTCAATAAGGTAACTGGGTCCAATAAATGAGAACTATGTTGCATTTTTCACTTTGTTGGCCTTTCAAAGGAAGGCCCGATTTTTTATTTAAGAAGAAGTTTCTCTGGGCCCATCTTCAACAGGGCACACTTTTACATTGCTTTTCTTGTAAGGATCCCATTTAATTCCAATCAGCCGAGAACGTGCGAGTGTCTCCTAAGTGGTGTGCAGGAGCTGCATGCATGGGTGAGGCATGTTCTTGGGATTGTCTTCATGCACCCATCTGTGTAGCCTTCTTTCACCAACTCGCCTCATTCCTCGACCGTTCGCTTCTTTGCAGGGCTGCTTCCATAGGCCTGGGCAGCTTGGGACTGTGGTCCAGGCGGAGCATATGGAAGGGACTGTAACCTTAGCCACAGCCAGGCTGTCTCACTCCATATTAGTAAACCTGAGGAGTCCAGGCTCTCTTGGGAATGGGGCCAGTCCTACTGATAACTCAATGATAGAGACAAGTCGGTTCTAAAAGGTTCATCAACCTCCGGCTGCACAAACATCTCCTTATGGGAATAAAGAAGTCTCACTGGAACCCCCCCCCACCCTCGCCCCTGCCTGGGCTGCATCTGCTTCCTGGCATTTGCGCTCCAGGTGCTGCCGCCAAGGGAAAGCAGTTCCGGCGGAGGCCCGTCTCCCGTGTGCCAGCGTAGCACTGTGCTCCACAGACTTCCCGATGGCTGTTTTTGGATTTCTTTTTCAATCGACACACCCTTCTCCCGAGGCACCTCTGGGTGGACTTCAGCCAGCGGCCGAGCATGTTAACTCTCCGCACCATCCAGAGACTCCTTGAAGGGGAGGCAAAGCGGGAGAGGAAGACAGAGTCGTGTCCCAGGGGAGAGCGGGGGTCGCACAATTCTGGGTATGGTTTCCATTCCTCTCCTTCTCATTCTAAGGAGTAGAAGAGCCCCTGAACTTTCCGTTCTGCCACTGTGAATTTGAGGGCGCTGGGGAACCCAGGATTTGGCAGACACATCCAGTGTCCATCCATGCCCACTCCACCATGTCCAGGTGCGGTCTGCAGTCTGTCTATGAGGACAGCGCAGTTTCTGTTCATACAGATTAAGGAAAAATAAACCCACCTCATGCTAATCTAGCCCAATGGGTTTTTCTTACCTGTTACCTGTTTTCTTGGGTGTGGATGAACAAGGCTGTAGCTTTTCAGGCGTCCGTTAAGACTCTGGTGCCTGATGACATGGCCGGGTGGTGGGGGGGTGGGGGGCGCAAGATAAGAGGGGTGTGCGATTGTGAAGACTGCCTTTCTACCCTTCTTCTCTTCCTTCCTTCGCGCTCTCTCACTCCCATTTTAAGCAAGCTGACTGAGAACTCTGTGTCCTCCACTTCAAAGGACCAGTTGTCTCATTTTGATGTGGGCCGATTGCGAAGTGGGCTTTGAAAAGTAGGCCCCCTTTCTTTCCCCCTGGTTGTTGTTGTTTTTGTTTAATCTATCCTCCTGGGACAGCTTTCAGAACAGTCTATCTGCGTGCCAGTGAGGGGCTCTGACGAGCACGGGTTCCCAGGCTCACAGCAGGATCATCCTCTCAACGAAATATAAAAGTGAAATATTAAAAACCCTGGGACGTGAACTCCACCTGCAGAGTAGCCAGTGTCTTGCCTGCTTGCACCATGGGAAAAAGATCTCCTTGCCAACAAGAGGGAGGAGAAAGACAGTGCTTTGAGCAAGAGGTTTACAGGTTTAGTAGAGCATGGTAACACCCCCTCAACGAAGTGGGTGTTGCTCTGTGACCCCCCAAAATGGCCCTCCTTTGACTGGGCCGACAGAACGCTCACCCTCCCCAGGCACATGCCCCCTTTTCACATGCTAACCGAGGCTCTGGTGATTGGCTGAACAATGAACTGGTCACAGTTGCTAAAGGGCTGCCATCTTTCACACAATTAGCCAAGACACATTAATCAAACTGGGGGGTGGGGGTGGAGGGGTTGGGGAGCACATTACTGGGACTAGGACTGGGCAGAGGGGGGAAGCGAGAAATCTCGTGACCCTTAATAAGCAGGCAAAGAGAAGAGCAGGCCTGAGGAACCATCATGGCCAGGCTGGGTTGTCCTGCATTTGTGGCTCAGAGGAAGGAGCCTGCGCAAACCGGACAACTGTCCCGCGTAAAACCTGCTGAGACGGGGCAGTCGTGTAAATGTAATCCACACCCTCAGGAGGGGTCCGCGCCAAGTTCCTGAAGCCCTCTTAGCCGCTCCCTTCACACCCTCCCCCACTCCCCCAAAATGGCCCTCCGGAGTCACTCCTGTCTTGGGCCCCAAGTATTTCAGGGTCCAACTAGACAACGGATCCGCGACCCCCACGGCCTGTGTTTCACCAGCAGAATCCACGGGCATACGGCATAGGAGCACCGTGTAGAACGGACTCAGAGAAAGTACTACCTGACAAGGTGTGGATGCGAAACCTTTGCAGAGGAAAAGCCTGTCAGTGCATCGTCAATGGTACTGCTTGCTTTCTGGCTTACCTGAAGTCCCTGAAAGTCACTGTCCCAGTGGCAGTAGAGGACTGAGAAGCTCAGACCTTAGAGACCAGCTTGCTACAGAGTCGGGTGGGGCCTTTAAGAGAATCAACTAAATATTTAGACATCTCTCAGCTAAAGTAAACGGAGGTTTTGCTCATGTGGAGGCTGCCCAGTCACCATCACATTAGATGCGAAGCTCCTGTGATAAAGGAAACGTGTGTGTTCTGTCCCCCCAGCCCACATGATGGCGGCCCAGTTGTGGTTTTTTGTGTGTCATTGATTGTGTCATCCCACTCCTTTTGCTGCCCTGAAAGGGTCTGTCGGGGTGCTGTTGGCTGCCTTAAATACGGTTCCTGAAAGCGCCGCATGCTGGGTGCGCTCGGATCCCAGCACTAATGCACTGCTGGGGTCATTCCACCCCACTCAAAATCCCTCTCAGTCCCATCGAGG